CCTGAGCTGTGCAGGAGGAAAAGAGCGACTTGGAATGCCTTCAAGAGCATCGAAGAAATAGCTAAGAGGAGGAAGAACCTCTGGCTCCGGGCACATCTCTTTGATTCCACTGTTCTTCCCACATTAACATACACCTCAGAGACCTGGGCCCTACGCAAACAGGGTGAGAACGCTATTCGGGTCACCCAAAAAGGAATTGAAAGAGCTATGCTTGGAATATCATGTTTCACTCAAGTGAGAGAAAGAGTCCGGAGTTCCAACCTCCATCGACAATCAAGAATCAGGGACTCTGTCTCGTTTGCCAAGGCATCAAAAATCAGATGGGCTGGTCACGTAATGAGATTTAGAGACGACTGCTGGACTAGAGCTGTTACCAACTGGATTCCACGGGATGTCAAAAGACCGCGTGGCCATCCACCTACCAGGTGGTCAGACTTCTTCATCAAGACCGTGAATGATCGGTTTGAGGCTCTTCGTGTTCCTAGAACGAACAGACGCCACTGCGCTACACTAGCATGCAACAGGGACAAATGGAGACGTTACTGGCGCCCGCTCGAGCAAATCGACGATTAACGGGAAGTCAAGTGATCAAGTGATCAAGTGATCCCAAGAAAAGGAGTCTTCCCTAAACATTTTATGTAGAGACCTTGTTCTGATGGTTTGGTTCTTTTCAGTCAAGTTATCCTACTTAGCGCCAATGTGGAAGAAAGCCCATGCATACATTTGTCTTGAATTTACATGTGTCATTTTGTTTTTCTATCTCAATGAGATGAGTGGTTCTGGTTTCAAGATAATGGTCCACTTAGCATATTTTTGTTGTTGTTGTTGTTTGTAGGGGTGGCTCTCGTGTGCTACTCAGAACGTCTGGGAGCCCACAAGTGACGTCCAACCAACTGGGCCAAGAGTTTAATGCAGGGGCTCAACAATGCAATGTTTCTCAGGCCCAGGGAAAACCATGCCACCCCAGTGGTGCTGGGGGTCTCCAGAGCCATGTGCCCATGGACCTGGGAATACTAGGGAGGACCACGTGGTACCAGGAATTCAACCCAATTGGGACACACTGCTGTATTATCACCTCGCCCAGATTATAACTTTTTACCATCAACAAGGAGAGCAGCTATCATCACTGCATAAATAAATAAATATGTTTTCATGAAAACCATTAATAAATATTTGTTGCAAAGCTAAATGAACAGTGTATGAAATACATTTTGAATGAATGATAATGAATGAACAACTAAGAGGAGTTGGAGCATCATGATGTTCTGTCACTTCTGACAACTTCTATTACTTCCTTTCTGATATTTCCTTCTTGTTTGGGAAGGAATACTTTCTAGGCGTGTGGGAATTGGGCCATACCCTGGAGTACTCAGTAATTACTCCTGGCTCTGTGCTCAGAGAACTCCTGGAGGTGCTCAAGGAGGTGTTCATATGTGGCGTTGGGGATCAAATTGAGTCAGACACATGCAAGTCAAGTGCCTTACCTACTGTACTATCTCTTGGGTCCTAGGAATACTTTGTAATACAAGGATTTATTTTGGAGCACTTGGTAGTAGGGCTCAAAAATATATGGGCGTTTTCTTCTTGTGGAGTTCCACCAGTATTTTGTATATCCTTGTTATCAACCCCTTGTCAGATGTGTATTCGGCGAATATTCTTTCCCATTCTGTAGACTGTCTTTGTATTTTGGTCACTGTTTCTTTGGAGGTGCAGAAGCTTCTTAGTTTAAGATAGTCCCATTTATCTATCTCTGTTTTCACTTGCTCGGCCAGTGGCGTGGCATCTTTGAAGATACCATTAGCTTCAATGTCATGGAGGGTTTTGCCAACTTTGTCTTCAATGTACCTTATGGTTTCTGGTCTGATGTTGAGGTCTTTAATCCATTTTGATCTTACCTTTGTACTTGGTGTTAGGGACAGATTTGAGCCCACTTTTTTACATGTAGCTGTCCAGTGATGCCAGCACAATTTGTTAAAGAGGCTTTCCTTACTCCACTTCACATTTCTTGCACCTTTATCAAAGATTAGATGATGGTGGAACTCCACAAGAAGAAAACATCCAACCCCATCAAAAAATGGGGCAATGAAATGAACAGAAACTTTCTCAAAGAAGAAATCCGAATGGCAAAAAAGCACATGAGAAAATGCTCTACATCATTAATCATCAGGGAGATGCAGATCAAAACCACAATGAGATACCATCTCACACCTCAGAGACTGGCCCACATTCAAAAGAACAAAAGCAACCAAAGCAACCGATGCTGGCGCGGATGTGGCGAGAAAGGGACACTCCTTCACTGTTGGTGGGAATGTAGACTAGTTCAGCCCTTTTGGAAAACAGTATGGACGTTTCTCAAAAAATTAGAAATTGAGCTCCCATTTGACCCAGCGATACCACTCCTGGGAATATACCCCAGAGAGGCAAAAATGTGTAGTCGAAGTGACATCTGCACTTGTTTGTTCATTGCAGCACTGTTTACAATAGCCAGAAACTGGGAGAAACCTGAGTGCCCAAGAACAGATGACTGGTTAATGAAACTTTGGTACATTTACACAATGGAGTACTACGTAGCTGTTAGAAAAGATGAAGTCATGAAATTTACATACAAGTGGTACAATATGGAAAGTATCATGCTAAGCGAAATGAGTCAGAAAGAGAGGGATAGACATAGAAAAATTGCATTCATCTGGGGGATATAAAGCAACAAAATATGAGATCAATACCTAAGAATAGCTGAGATCAACACCAGGAGGATTACTCCATAACTTAGAGGCCAGCCGGATATTCTAGGGGAAAGGGCAGTTCAGATAGAGAAGGGAACACCAAATGAAAGGTGTTTGGAGGATCCTCCCAGGAGTGGAAATGCATGTTGAAAGTAGACTATGGACTGAACATGATTGCCACTCAATGCCTCTTTTGCAGACCACAACACCCAAAAGGAGAGAGAGAACAAAGGGGAATGCCCTGCCACAGAGGCAGGGTGGGAGGAGGGGCGGGGGAAAATGGGCACTGGTGGAGGGATGGGTATTTGATCATTGTAGGACCGAAACTCAGGCACAAAGATTTGTAAATCTACAACTGTACCTCATGGTGCTTCACTAATAAAAATAAATTAAAAAAATATATATGGGCAATCAGTCATCCTCATTTTTTCCCATTCCATGCTTTCCTGATCTCAAAATCTTTCCAACTGTGGCTTTTGATCCTACTGATATTTAACTGCACTGTAGCACTGTCCTCCTGTTGTTCATCAATTTGCTCGAGCAGGCACCAGTAACGTCTCCATTATGAGACTTGTTACTGTTTTTGGCATATAGAGTACACCACGGGTAGCTTGCCAGACTCTCCCATATGGGCGGGATATTCTTGGTAGCTTGCCGGGCTCTCTGAGAGGAATGGAGGAATCGAACCCAGGTTGACCGTGTGTAAGGCAAACACCCTACCCGCTGTGCTATTGCTCCAGCCTGATATTTAATTAGCTCCCCTTTATTCGTTTTTTGTTGCTGATTTAAAGTAGCACTGTAGCACTGTCCCACTATCCTCCCATTGTTCATCGATTTGCTTGAGCAGGCACCAGTGATGTCTCACAACAAATTGTGGAACTTGTTATTACTGTTTTTGGCATATTAAATATGTCACAAGTAGCTCGCCAGGCTTTGCTGTGCAGGCGAGATACACTCAGTAGCTTGCTATTCTCCGAGAGGGGCAGAAGAATCAAACCTGGATTGGCCATGTCAGCCACGTGCAAATGCTTTTCCTGCTGTGCTAAATTAGTGATTTTAACCATTTTAATAACCTGATGTGATATTGGACAGTTCAAGCCTAGTCTCAGATTAATAAAAAAGGAAAAAAAATACTTCCTTGTCCTTACTTTCTTAGTTGTGCTCCTCAAATGTAGAAATAAAATTGATACTTGTGTGTGGTTTTTGCATTATTAAGGATATGAGAACCATGCCATAAAATGTGTGACCAAATTGAAGATTAAAAATGGTGATATTGACAAAGATGACAATCTAGATGCATCTTATATGATTTTCTAACCTAAACATTTGAATGACCGTTCTTCCTTTGGCTTTTCAAACAAGAAGGAATGTTAGCAGCCCATGACCAAAATGGAAAAGAGAACATGGAATGAACTAGAGACAAGGTGAATGGATGAAAAGATGGAAAGTATATTTAAAAAAATACACAAATATACATCTTTTTGCTCATAACATACTCTGTATTTATTTATACATATATAGCATAAGCATTTCACATAATTTTAGTACTATGTGCAATTCTATAGCAAGCCATTTTATTTATTTCAGCCCCTACTATATTAGCACAGTAACATCTAAAATATTTTGGCAGTACATTATCACATTTGTATAGAGCTGCCCAGAATACTCTGTTTTCCATGTTTGTAAACAAAAATAGAAACAGCACTACATAAATACTGTGATTGGAAAAATACCTTCTTTCAAAACTTCCCTTACACTCAGTAAAGGAGACTCAATCTACTTTAGTATCCAAAATGCATTTTTCTCTGAACAAATATAATTTTCTTTGGGTGCACTAAATATGTAGCCATAACAAATCACTTATTTTTCTTTCTCAAACTAAATCACTTAATAAAGGCAGGGGTACAATGTGACATAGATGAGACTTGAGATTTGGAGATTTTCACTGTACCTCCTCATTTAGTATACAAATTAAATACTGTTAACTGATTTCTGTTGCTAATTCTCAAATTAACTTCAGGTGCCAATAATGGTACTGGTTTATTCAGGGATTTAAAAAAAATTTTATACTGTATAAGTAAAAAAAGATGTGGGAATACTAAATTCAATTTTAATGAAGAACTCTTTTAAGTAAATTGATATATGGTCAAACTTGGAGCAGTTAAATATATATATATATCTTATTCCTATTTTGCTAATAGCAGCAAACAAGAGGTCAACTACAAACTGATTTCTTATTAGCTCTATAGAATATTCCTAGAATAGACTAAGTTGTTAAGCTTGGAAGCTAGGTGAAAAGCAGTTAATGGACTTATATGGAGTCTTTTAATTACCAGTCTTAAACAAATTTATCTTTTACTGTTAGATAGCACCCAAGGGCAAGAGGTAATTTGCTTTATAAACCTTGGAGTGATTTGTTTTATAAATCCTGGAGCTTTGGAAAGTAGAAAACTCTCTTGAAGAGTATTCTCCTGTAGGAATTGTATTTTTGGCAGTTTTGTGAAAAATTTAGTGATGAATTCTTTGTGACCTCCAAATGAATTTATGTCAGTGATCAAAGCACTTTCAACATGAACAAGTTCCTTAGAGCACTTAGGACCTGCCCAATGCACAGGATTATTCACAGCCAAGTCAAACACACAACCAAAGAATAAATTGGTCCAACTAATATTTCAAAGCAAATCGTCTTTTTCATTCAAAGCATTACATCTTTCTGCCAAAGGCAGTTCTTTCTTCTACCTACTTAATCATCTCTATATTAGAAAACTAATTTTCCTTGCAGAGGTCATGTAATTCACCCATGTTGTGTGGATGGTAAAACATCTGTTAACATCAGAATTTTACGATTAAAAAAAATTAGAAATCAGATGCATAGCCCAATACAGAAATATCCTAATTCAAATTCTAGAGTTAAAAAAAAATATTGACAGCAATTTTAATTTTTCAAAGGTAAAAATGGCTCAAGATTAACAAGGAGCACCCTGTATCTGAACTAAATTAATTTGTGTTTCTCTCGGACACTTTGCTTGCATTTCTATGACATCAGCGTCTCAGTACTGGATGAAAGATGGAGTTCACAAGTGTGGCAGTGGGAGACTCCATTCCTAGACTATCTCCCACAGCAATAGTACCAATGATATCTTTCTTCAAATTTACTATGGACAAATTTTCATAATAATTCTTCACAAATGGTATGATCAGCTCCTGGAAGGATTGGAATCACTTTAAACGCATGGTCTGTCTTCTTCCAGGAAATGACGGCTCAGTGATCACAATGTGTAATTGCTCTCACATTCAAGCAGATGACTCTTGCTCAATGACTTCCAATGCCATGGCCTCAGCCACTTCGCCTAGGTTGATAGACTGGTTCTTTGGCTCATGGTGGCAGATGTAAACAGGGATATCCCCTCCCTCTGCTGCAGCATTGGCCGCAGCTCGGGCCGCAGCTCGGGCTGCAGCCGAGGCTGAAGTGTGGATTGGGTAGCTCCTAGGGCTGTCGTCCCCCCAGAGATAACCCCATTGGGCTTGGAATTTGGCCCATTGGCGCTTCAAGGTGGTTTGGACCTGGAAGAGAAAAGAGAGTTTTGTTTATAAAAAATTGTCAGAAATGCTAGAGTCAGGTTCGTGAGTACAAGTTTTGGAGCTTATCAGATTTGTCAAAGGAGATTGGATTACAATTCTGATCAAAATGACTCTTAAGCATATAGCTTGTAATGTAGTGTACCATCTTCAAAGAACACTTCACAGGTTGCAGATGGAGGTAATTGCTTGATTTCGTTGACAGAGTTATCAGCTTTTCTGGGCTAAGGTTCTGGCAAAGCAGGGTTGGAATTTTGGAAAACAGGAAAGGAAGCACTCTTAATGAGATCATCCCAGGCAATGCGTTTTCAAGTGCAAGTGTTTATTGAAGATCCACAAGTAGTTTGGATTCTCCATCAAACCTTTGATTCAGAATTCCCACAACTCTCCAAGCACTGTGCTTCCCTGTTTGCTCATGGGAATTTGGCTTTGCAATCTCTGTGTGCAGTAGGGATAGCTACAGAATTCTAAAGCAACTAGACTGATTTTAGTAGAAACAAGAGATATCAAACCTGAAGCAGAAGCTATCTGCGAAAGCCTATTCTGATTGAAATAATCATTCAGAGCAAAGAGGAGGAAAATTTTTCATTTTGTTGTACAATGGAATTACTCTATTAACACTCTTATAATATAGTAAAATAATTTGCTTTCCTGTCTCTTTCAGACTTTGCATTTGGATTGCTTTACAATTATTTTCCTGTTGGGACTAGCCAAGAGATGATGAGCTTTATTTGTTTCTATTAAACATGGGTCCTTAAGTGCCAGGCTTTTAATCTAGGAACTATCAAATGCAATGAAGATGTATTATGAAATATAGGTGTTCAGTGTATTGTTGGAAAAGCAATGTCTCTAAACAAAAGGAATAGTTTCCAGGGGCTTAGCATCTCTGAAATAACATTGTCCTTACAGCTTAAATTCTTGCAGATATTCAAAGGTACCCAAAGTAGAGAGTTATAAATTTACAATGAATTTATGAATGTGTCTAATAGGAGAAAAAGTCTTTATTTTACCTCACCTGTATTTTCAAAATAATCTCATTGAAATATCATTCATAGAAATAAAATACCCAGCCCAAAGTGAAGCTAAAAAGATTTGAAGAATATTTTAATTTATAAAATTATCATTGCAGAAATAGTCACAGTTTTTTCTGATTTTCAAAATTATAACTTCTCCTTTTGTGTGGAAATGGCAATCTCCTTTGATTTTGAAACCACACATGTAAGAATAGACTCTTAGCAGCATGTAAAAGACACATCAATAATTACAGTTTAATAAGAGTAATTATCTCCTACAATATCACAGGTTGAGCTTAGTGCAGCTTTGATCACAAGAATAGAGGCATTGAATTGGTTTGAGGTAAAAATGGAAGACTTTTGTTATTCCCCCAAAGCATAAAAAATATTAGGAGTTGCCAGTGTTATGGATAAGTATAGCATACAAAGTTCTCAATTATATAAATTCATCATTTGTTATAAAGGCAAATGGCACAAATCACTTTGCATGTTCCCCTGATTATATCCATTTATTTATTGCCAACTTTAAAAAATAGAGTTCTAGTCTGAAGACATAATTATTACACCTGGCTCTATTATTAACCAGCTGTATAAAGTAGGTATATTTTTGCTCCAGTTTCTACATTTGTAAAAATTAAAATCAATAAATACATGGAAAAAAGAGAAAATCAGGTTGGAATCTTCATGTTTGAATGCCTTTGTTTCTTGCTAAGTTCTTATATGCACCTGCAGTTGTATTGCTAAACAGGAAGTTTTGTGCCTATAAAAAAGAGATTCTAAGGTCTTTTTAAGACTCAGTTTGTGCTACCACAAGTCAACACACCTGTTACAATATGAATTTAACAAAACTTGATTTTAAAAATTGTCTTATTCTCAATTCACTTGGGGTTTCTAATGTAATTAATGTAGCACTGTCCTCCGGTTGTTCATTGATTTGCTAGAGCAGGCACTAGTAACGTTTCACAACAAATTGTGAGACTTGTTATTACTGTTTTTGGCATATAGAATACGTCACGGGTAGCTTGCCAGGCTTTGCCATGCAGGCGAGATACTCTCGTTACCTTACCGGGCTCTCCAAGAGGGGCAGAGGAATCAAACTTGGTTTGGCCATGTTGGCTGCGTGCAAGGCAAACGCCCTACCTGCTCCAGACCCATGTAATTAATCACTGTCACTGTCACTGTCTTCCCATTGTTCATCGATTTTCTCCAGCGGGCCCAGTAACGTCTCCATTGTGAGATTTCTTGTTACTGATACTTTAAATGTCTTTCCAAGAAAATATTTTGAAGTTTGGTCCCTGTTATGCCTTATTAATTGGATGTTAAAGGGCACTTCTGAATATTATTTACAAAGTTGTTGCTGATTTTTTTTATACTTTTGGAGGATATATACGCAATATCTCTTCCAGTCTTTAGTCTAAATTTTCTTTAGTTTGAAGTAATTGAGAACTTCATGTTGAACATGACTGTGTTTTTCTAAGTTCTCTTTGTTAGCTTTCCCCTATGTTTATACAAAATTTCTTGTTTTAAAAGATGAAAATAAATATTATTTGTAAGAAGGTTAGTACTTCTGAATTGAAAATAGTGATTGTTTACAAAATAATAGGGAACTGACCATTTCTATTGAACAAACTTTACAAGGCAATTCTGATTTGCAGTAGAGACTGAGAATACTGGTCTAGAAAAAGTAATATTTGTCGCTTGGTTTTGAAGCACAAACTGAATTTCCTGAGTCCTCAGAAAGATAATAATTTTGAAAACCACATCTAATTGGATGTAGGAAAATATTTGAAATAGAGTGCTATTTATTTTTAGATATATACAGTGAAGCTTAATGCTTTGAAAATATAATTTGCTTAAAGCCATAATATGGAGATCATGACCAAGGAGAGTCCCTTACAGAGAGGAAGAGGGAGTGGTAAGTCCCCTTCCAATTGTGAGAGAAAAAGGTGATAAAGAGATATAGGTACTCAAATAACCTTATATTTCCATGTCATGCTGGGAAAACCTAGGAAAACGGGAAGGGGAAGTAAGGTATACATGATCGCTTTGACTCTAAATTAATAGCTTTGTAAATTAATAGTTCTGTACAGAATACTCCATTTGACTTGTCACTAAGTTCAACATGATGCCTAAGCAGTGGGATTGTAAAGACTATTCCATGTAATAGAGACAGAGTCATAGTGTAGAGGAAATGTACTGGAGACAGACACAATAGTGTAAAGGAAGGAGTAGAGTTTCCTGGATTTCTCAGGTGACTTGAGAGAGAGATCTGATGAATCAGGAAAGGGTGTAGTCAAATAGGCTAGACTCAGAGAATTTCTGAAAGAAGAGAATGAACCATACACTCTATGGGAGGTACTAACATAATGCAGTAACCAGATAAGTCTATGGACAATGATTTTAGTTTTCCTCTTTTGGAAGGTTTTTTGGTCATACTCAGCAGTGCTCAGGGGCTCAACTCCTGATTGATCAATGTTAATGCTGGGGAACTACTTTGCAGTGTTAGGGACTGAAATGAGGGTGGTTGCATGGAAGGTAAGTGCCTCAACCCCTGTACTATCTCTTTAGGTCCTGGACAAAGGCTTTATAAGAACTAAATATTATCCAGAAAGAGACTATTGTAAGTCATTAGAAAAAGATTGAATGGACACTGCAAAGCAACATTAAGTTATAATATTTGAACTCTTAAATCGGCTCTTCTGATGATACTATTTTGACCTACAAATTATTTTGTCCACAACTCACAGTAATAGCAAGAAACAGGAAAAGGGAAGAAAATACACTTTGTTAGTATTTTTTCCTAACTTCTAAGGTACTTCTTGAAAAAATATGATATTTTTTAATACCTATATTTAAATTTTTGGGGTGCATATTGGGAGAGGGTATGGGGGGACCACTGGTGGTACTCAGGGCTTACTCCTGGCTATGTACTCAGGGATCAGTCACTGCTGGTGGTGCCAGGGATTGAACTTCTGTCAGCTATGTGCAAGGCAAGTGTTATACATCTTTCTGGGTTCCATATATTAATCTTTTTATGGGTAAATACTTAATAGTTTGCTGAAATGTTTGAAGGTCCATGTCCACATAACTTGGAGGTTCTGTTGTAGAAAGTATTTATAGTTGAAGCTTGCTTTCTGGATGACCCCCCTGATTCCTGTTAGCATAATTCTCCATGTTCCTTCCCTACATCTAGTCTATCACTGACTATCTTATGTAGAAATAAGTGATACATATGGATAATATGTACAAAGTAAACCTCCATCTTTCATTGTATAACCGATAATTAGCCCCAGGATTTCTGTTAAACATATTCAGCCAAACAAAATCCAAATTCCCATCACAATTCTATTTCAAGTGCATCTGGAAAGAACTTCCCTCAGGCCTGAATGCCTAACAATACATTCACAGAGGCCAGCTGATACCCAGGTGTCTAACATTCAGGCCACTGTGATATTATTTTTGATACAGTACATAGCTTCAGTGTTATTAGACATGTCACATTTGGACATTCTCCAGTAATGGAATCTTAATTAAAACAGAAATATTTTCTTTATTTAAAAAAAGCAGATATGTCACACTTGTACCTTCCCCAGAAGCAGTATCTTATTTAAAATGTAGATACTTTCTTTATTTAAAAAAGAATAGATAATGTACTGAAATAAGCTAGAAATACTCAACTATAAGGAGAATATCTGAGTTAGTTTTCTGCACTTGACACTTCAAGGAAAATACCACAGTTAAGGAAAAATATTGAAAATGAAAGCTTTGTACTCACTGTACTACTATTCTGGCCCTGGAAAGAGGCACTTTTACAATTAGCAATAGAAAGAAGTCTTTTCATTTGGTTGCCATGGGTGTCTAGCCAGCCTTTAGCAATAGCGATAGTGAGTGCACAATATAGTTTTCTTGAATGAAGAAATGGATTGATAGATGAATGGATGAAGGAAGGAATAAGATATATCAATGAAAAGGGGGAACAAAAGCAACATAATCTTGCAATGTTGGAGTTGGAAAAAAGTGATATGACACAAAGAAGCAAAATATTATAGGTATTCACTAACCATAGTTTACCCAGAGTCATAAGGAAGAGAAAATAAATGTAATGGTTAGAAAATAAATTTTTTAATGGTTAGAAAATGTTTCTAAGATGTTTCTTTAATGTTTCATAGAAAATAATATGTTGATTTCTTAACATGATGTGATTTGAATTGTTATAAAATCATTCTTAGTAAGAGTTAACTTAAAATGACCAGAAAAAGGTTGGGGAGGTAACTCAGTGCTTGGATGTTGGCATATGTGAGGCCCCATTTTCAATTCCTGAGGCCAAAACAAAACAAAACTACAAACAAACAGAATGATCAAAAATATTTTTATACAAAGTAAATTAAACTTTAGGGAGTATACAAGGTTTCAGGGAGAAAACAGACATAATGTAGAACAATATAATAAGTTTTAATTTAATTGGGAGCAAGAAGTCCGAACTCTAGCTTTGGTTCTACAACTATGATTGTGACATTCCAATATCCAAGTAAATAGGACATAACTTTTATGTATATGGAAATCCACAATAGCTATCACTATTTGCCCCTTGGGTATTGGCCAATTAGAGGTGCAATGTAAGGAAATCAGAACTTAGCTGCTTGCTTGGATAATACCCACAAATATTCTATAGAAACATTGATAACATTCATTTTGAGTAGCAGTGGACATAAAATTATGAGTTTGCTTGATGATGTCTTGTGAAGTCAACTGCAGAAATGAGAGCAACTGAAAATGTCTACAGACACCCTTCAGAATAGTAAAAGTGTTGGCTTTTTAAAAAGTCAGTGAATGGTAGTATATTAAATGAAAACTTACCTCGTTGTTGTAGAAACAGTAGATTATCGCAACAAAGAATCCCTTAATGGAGGAGAGAAAATCAAGTTGAAGTTATTTTTGTGTGAATTTTATTGTTTGTTAGTCAATATTAAGAGACTATCCAGAGAGAAATGTTTCATAAAACAAATTTTTCATAAAACTACCCAAACATAAAACAGTATGTCATGGTTTCATGAAAAACAATTACTACCACTTATATTCATGCTTTACTACAAAAATACTCCATTAGAAATGTACTTTTTCTTTTTCTAAGACACTTACTGCTTGGCTTAAAGAACATCTTTGGTCAATGTAACCAATATATTGTCATTGTCACAATTATTTTTTGGAAGGGCGTGGTTTGGCCCCGAGCACCCAGGCTACTTCCTGGCTCTGTGCTCAGAGATTACTCCTTGCAGGACTCAGTAGTTTATATGGGTTACCAGGGATCAAACTCAGGTCAGTCATGTGTAAGGAAAGTGCCCTGCCTGCTGTACTATCTCTCCAATCCTAACATGGATATGAATATGCTGATTATAGTAGGTTTGAAAACAAATTTTATCTGATTATCTGAATATGATGATTATAATCTGAAATTTTATCTGATTATCTGAACATGCTGATTATAGTAGGTTTGAAAACAAATTTTAAGGAATAAGTTTGGAGTTCAGTGGTAGGGCACATGCTTTACATCAAGTATACCTGGGTTGAATCTTTGGCATCTCTTGCCCCCAAATCAACTTAGGAAATTTTTGTATTTATTGTTTTTTAAATTTAGATATGAATTTACTAGAGCAATCTTTCACAAGTGTGACTGTTATGGTATATGGCTGTGGGCAGACTGTGCCCTGTGTTCTCAGGACAAACTATCCTTGGCTGGTTAGTTTCATCATCAGAACCAGTCTCTCAACTATGGACATGGATTTAATAACCTCTGAGTTCTGGTTACTACTCAGAAGATTCCTACATCCAATCTCATCTAATTATCTATAGAAATTCATAACAATAGCATGAATAACTTTATAAAAATCCCTGTTATATCTGGCTTAATATTGACTTTCTTCTTAGCATTCAGTCCCAACAGCAGAAAATAATGCCACATTGAAATATATCATCAAGTTAGCAAAAGTTTGGTCTAAGAAAGTGTGGTAGACTCATTTCTACCTGAGAACACTCAACTCTCCACCTGGTTTCAAAATACCTAGGACTATGCCTATAATGAGACTTTGGATCTGAGGCAGAGTGAATAATAGCAGGAACATTCTTCTCTTCTATATGAAAGACAGTTATGGGAGCCTGGGAGGCTCACAGAGCATTCTCCATTCTCTCCCACATGAAGACTTGTCATTTAATATTATAGAAATGTCTAGGTGCATTTCTGATATCCCTTTGACAGAAGGGATAGGAGGTCTGCTGACTGTGCAAATTCATTACACTTTATGCAATAGAGTAAATGCAATAGAGTATTACAAAAGGATGGTTTGGAAGTTAACCTGAATGGTGAGGATAAATATGTTTGGGCATAGCCAACTGAAAGTCCCTAGGAGGAATGAAAAAGCAAAAGTAAGAAATTACCTCAAAGAATCTGGTTCTGTTTAATGTGTCTGTTGACATGGAGGCTATAAACTATATGAATTTAGATCATAGGCTTATAGTTAGATTTTTTGACTTTGCCACTAACCAAGAGACTCAATTTCCTTATCTGTGCCATAAGCATATCATACTCCCCTACCAATTTAAGTGGTAATAAATGGTCACTATCATTTTTGATTAGAAAATATGAGAATATTAATTTATATGATGTCTAGGGTTTTCCTAAAATCAAACAAATGGCTGAAATGATAATTCTAGATCCTGGACCTCACTTGAAGGCAGTGAAATTAAGAAATGGAAAACTGAGTTCCTATTTAAGAGAAGTACAGCTTTCTGCTCAGGATTCAACAGAGATAGTTTATACTAACACAAGAATCTTTTTTTTTTACTTCTGTTTTTACAACAATAGTGATTATGTGGATAGTAACTCAGGTTTGGAAACTGATTGGCATTATTTATGTTGCCCTTCAACAAAGCAAAAACAAATGTAACCCTCGAGATACTAGAGAAGGAAGGGGAAAGTTTGGAAGGACTACGGGTAGAGGCTTTGTTATCAGCACTGTTTGATTGGTCAGTACCTCAAAAATACTCATCCTTTAAGATAAATTCACAAAGTTAAATTTCCTCCTTCAGTTTTAAGATTTAAAAAAATTGGGAAGTAGGCAATAGAGAAGACTGAGCCATATTCCTCTAGGCTGCATATCTTCTAAAAGTTCTTTTAATTGTTGACAAGTCTCAGAAAACTGTTTAGTCTGCATTATTTGGCTGAGCAAATAGTTAAATAGACACCACTGGCACCCTTACCTGGAAGTGGATGAGAGAGTGCATCACGTAGTCATATATGACCCCAAGGACCTTGTTGGAAGGTCTCCAGGGAAAGACAACAAACTGAACTCCCAGCAGGGGCACCAGGATCAGAGTGGCCCTCACTGCCTTCAGGTACAACTGTGATTCCGCCTCCTGGGTTCGTCTCAGTTTTTTCACGAGCACCCGGACAATATTGAGCAAAAAGAAGAAGTTGACCTATAAAGTTATGATCTCCAGGTTAGTATCATTTACATATGCTCACTTTTCTTAAGTCTGATTTATCTAAGGTGGAGAACAGATATTACCAACATATGATGTGATAGATTGTCAAAACAGTCATATAATTTAATAATAGAATTATTAAAATAAACACATATTGAGACAATGAAAATCAGTATGTATAATCAAAGATTGCTTTCAGGCCTTATTATTCTCTACTAACCCCATTGTTCTCCACTACCCCCATTATTCTCCACTACCCCCAATCTATATTTGAAATATTTTCTCTATACATGAAACATATTCAGCTCAACTTGAACAAAGGTGTGTTTATTATTTACTTTGACTTTTATATTTTTTTAAAAAGGGTACCATAAGGGGCAATTTTAAGTCTTGTCTTCATGTCTTTTTATTATGCATATTTCCCTCAACCAGCAAATCTTAACTGAAAGGAAAATAAGGACTAGAAAAACGTGTATCTGAAAGTTTCTACAGCTCACCCAAAATTCTCAAATTACTTTTTTTGTTTTGTTTTGTTTTTGGACCATACCCAACTGTACTAAGACCTCACTCCTGACTTCATACTCAGATTCACTTCTGGAGGGCTTGAGGTTGCCAGAGATCGAACCCAGGTGGGTTGCATACAAGGTAAGAGCCTTATCTGCAATACTATCTCTAGCACTAGCACTATCCTCCCCTTGTTCATCTATTTGCTCAAGTGGGCCCAGTAATGTCTCCATTGTGAGACTTGTTGTTACTGTGTTTGGCATATCGAATACCTGGGTAGCTTGCCAGGCTTTGCCATGCAGGCGAAATACTCTAGGTAGCTTGCTGGGCTCTCCGAGAGGGGCGAAGGAATTGAACTTGGGTTGGCCAGGTGGGCTGCGTGCAAGGCAAACACCCTACCTGCTGTGCTATCACTCCAGCCCAGTACTATCTCTACAGCCCTTAAATTACATGTTTTCTTTAAATACCTCCATTGAATTGTAACAAAATAGAGATTTTAAAATTCACATTAGAGATGTCTAGGTAAGTATGTATACTATCATAATAACCACCCAACTCACACAAGGAAAGAGATTTTCCCCATCTCAAGTAACCAATAATTTCAGCTACATGTAAATGAAGCACTGTATGAGATATCATATTTTTTCATTGTAAATTGGGCCTAGAGGAATGATGACAAGAATTCCTTGATTCACAATTAAGCAATACCCTTTCAATCATTATTTGGCATCTTGGTATTTAACTTCAAATAAGAGAATTTAGTTCTTGAACTGTTTTAAAGAAATGTTTGTTTTTGAGAAATAAATCTAAAACCTACACAATTGCACTAAGTAAAAATATTTTTTTAAATGTGAAGAATATCAAATCACAATTTTCTTTTTATATATTGTCATTAAGTTAGCTTCATTCCAAGGTTATAACACATGTGCCACATTTAACTATCTTCACAGAAGCTCCCACAAAGAAAAAACCATTGATAAGTTTACAATGCAATTCTTACCACCAAGGCTGCCATGACTGGGCCATGAATAATGTAAAGCAGATGTGTTTCCACACTCAGCCAGCAGCTGAAAAAGAGGAGTGTGTGTGGAGGGCAAACACATCAATACAAATGAATTTGACCTACAAATCAAATATGTAACCTGAGTAGCCATAATACTTACTTGTCATTGAAGTACAGCGCCCGAGTAACAGCATGGATAGTGGTTGGCACCAATGGGAACCCTAAAAATATAAAAAATATAAATTAGACCTACTTTCTTGGAATAAATTGAAACTATGGCTGCAAAGGCAATGGCAACTTGCTTCAAAAACCAGAAGCAAATTTAATATTTCTGTCTGTAGGATAACATTGGTATGTCCTTTCTCCCTTGCCACGGGGAGCTTAGATTTACTAATACCCATCACAATACTCCTGAGGCACCCCCATTCCTTTGTTTATTGTAACATAGTTCTAAACATTTTAGGATAACATTGGTATATCCTTTCTGCCTTGCCACAGAGAGCTTAAGTGTATTGGGTTACACCCATCACAGTGCTCCCGAGGCACTCCCATTCCTCTGTGTTTATCTATAAACTTTCTCTGTGCTCTGCTTCCCCACCCAGTCTATCACCTCTATCTCTAATCAGACTCTGTTAACTTGTAAGGTCAGATCCTTCTAGGACATTGGATTTGTATTTTTAAGGGGATTATTGCTTTTCTCTTTTCCTTATATCCTTTGCTTGAGTTACTCCAGAGCAATGTCCTTTTTGTATAGACACAGGAAGACAGTTAATATTATGCTTTTGTAACATGGGAGTCAATTGATTCTGAATAATATTCACTCCTGGGCATGTGTTTTCTTGACTTAAGCCTCTGTAGCACTGCTCTGTCACTGTCATCTCGTTAATCATCAATTTGCTTGAGCGGGTGCCAGTAGCGTCTCCATTTGTCCCAGCCCTGAGATTTTAGCATCATAAACTTTATGCCCTCTCTCTGCAGATGTAGCATGCCAGCTGGATGTCCTTGGGTATAATGGTGACATGCTTGGCATGGATAGTGCAAAAGTTGGGTGTCCTCAAAGAGCCTCAGTTGCCCTTATTCCCTAGCACCCCCAAAGCAGGGTCCTGATAAAGGATGGACCCAGGGCAAGTTGTGAGCTACCCCGGCATTGAAATGGGCCAGGCAAAGTGCAGTAATATTAAACTTTAAGTTAAGAGCATGGTCATGGACAAATTCTGTCATGATCCAAAAAAAAAACAACTGGATTAGGACCCTGTTAAGGTTAGGAAAGACTAATCTGGCCTGAGCACTGTAGTCTGAGACCTATAGTGAAATGTCCCTAGGAGAGCCATCGTATAAGCTTAATGTATCTCTTACTATGTTCATACAACATGACTAATATTAAGAAGTAGAATTAAGATGAATGTTTAAATGGTTATTGGACTAAGGAAAGGAGAAATGTACCCATAGATGGTATTTCACCCTTAGGAGGGTCATCTTGCTGAAAGATAGTTTGTCCTGGAAGAAGCTTCCCCTGAGGGAGGAACCTTACATCCATTGATTGTATAACCACACTTAGGTGTAATTTCTACCCAACTCCCCTCATGATTTACTTTGGAGATAACTAAGGTGGTAAGGGGGCAGATGGAGGAGGAGAAAAAAAAGAGTGGGCAAGGGGGAGAATCATGGAGAATGAAAGAGGTGGAATAAAGGAGAATTGGGGGAAAGAAAATCAGGAGAGAATGGAGATGAGATTGGAATAAACTGTAATTGATACCAACCAGTCTGGCCCTCATTTCCTCCTTCATCCGCCAGTTGCAATCTGCCGTCCCGAATGGGAGAAGCGACTCATGACCATCGAACGCAGGCGGCAAGAGAGAGCCGCGGGCCTCAAATTCATTTTTTGAATACACATCTGTCAAATTTCTCTAATATTTTTACAGATCACCTTTGGTGAAACCAGGTAGAGATGCTCTCAGAATATTATATTGTATCAGCAGTTCAGTTGAGAGCATCCAGGTAATTAAAAGTCTTTCAGAAATTGCCCAGCATGCAGGAAAATTGTATGTATTATTATAATGACCATATACATTGATGATGATAAGAACTACCGATGCCAGAAAGCATTTTGTTGTGTGTGAAATAGCATGTCTTATTGGAGAGACTGTGCACGGAAGTTACTCAGAATAGTGGAGCATAGTTATCTAATATTTTAGAAAGCATTTCACACAACTTTTTCTAATTTTTTTTTTTTTTTACTTTGTGTTTCTTCATGTTTATATCACTGTTTAAATGCTGCTTTCTTTTAAAAAAAACACTTTGAATAGCTAGTGTTTTTCCTACTCTCCATACATTTTTGGCTATAGAACCATTATTAGAACAGCTTTGTATAAGATTCTCTGATCTAATTGAACTGTTGGCAAAACAAGGCAAAACAACAGGACAGTATTGAACTTACAAAAAGAATGATGGATGTAGTTATTGGCAGTGCATTCAGTCAGGGCACATTTTTTAAAAAATTAAAGTACAAAATACATTTAACAGATATTAGTTTCAGGTGTACTGCATGACAATGGTTTATGCTTGTATGTATTGTGGAAATCATCACCAGGATAACTCTAGTAAATTTCCATTATTTGGCATAGTTAACACTTTTCCCCCCTCATTTTTGAATAGAAATTTAACATCTGCTCTCCTTAAGAAATTTCAAACATGCCATACAGTATTATTCATTATATATAAATACCCATATTATACCTTCAAAAATACATTTTTTTGAAAAATGTTATCTAGGGTCAAGTTGTGAATTATGTAAAGAAAAAAAAGATTATTTTTTTCTCAGATGTCCCCATTGCCAATAGACATTTTTTTACTTGGTTGAGCATTTTTAGAGTAAAAAAATTATAAATAAATTAAGAAATGTTTCTCAGAAATGAAGTAGAACTAACCTACACCTATTTATTTTATGTGAATTATAGGCAAAAAGTATTGCATGTTCACCTAAGAAAAACCTTAACTTCTAAACCCATGAAGAATATAATTCAGTAGAAATGTGGATTAAATGTTTGACTTGAGAGAATTTTGAGTGTGCCTATTTACACAAAAATATAATTGCGTTTTACTCACAATAGTTCTAACTTATTATTCTTTCCACTTGGGTTTAGAAACAATAATTCGTTCTTTGGATTTGTTTTGAAATAGTACTTTAGGATTTGACAGTAAGAGAGGCTTGTAGAGATTTCACTCCCACCTCATCATTCGTTTAAATGAAAATGTGCTTTTAAATATAGAATGGAAAAAAGAACATATATTCATTCATCCCTAAGGCTCTCTAAGGCTCTCTACACCTTCTAGTCATGACACGTTTTATCATGCAGTTTGTGTTTTCCTTTCTTCTTCCTTTCTCCCTCCTGCCTCAAAGGCCATAACAATGCTGATCTCCTTGTAAGAATGGTGAGGGTAAATAATCCTCTCTCCCTAGATAGAATTTATTTAGTCCTTTTTTGAGTAGGACTAAATAAATTCTATTTGTTCACTCTAAATATCCATAGGGGAGATTTTCTGTTTGATCTATAACAAGGGGAGAACTAGGAAGGTGAAGAATCAATCTGAAGATGATTTTAAAATAAATGATTTTTTCCCTAAGAACTAAACTTCAGTACTTGAAGCTATTTAAGTATAAGAAAAATTGACCAGTAAGTAAATGTGTGCAGACTTGGGAAGTGAGTAACCATTGAAAGAAGCGTTCTTCATTTTCTCTTGGGAAGAAACTACCACCAGAAACTATTCATGCAGGTGGTGAAATTCATAAGATTTATAAAGTGATTAATTTAATTAATCATAAATATTTTAAATTATGAAAATAATTATTTGAAAAGTTTCAGATCCTGAGGTAGGCGATACTAATAGCAGCAGAAATGAATGTATAAAATGTACATTACCAGAAAGATTAGGTCTTAAGTTGTGTATTCTTTAGCCAAATCTTTTGAGTTTTTTGCTACCACACTTTTCAAAGAATAGACTCTTTTCATAGTATAGGTCTCACTGTATTTCTTAACATTATAAAATTAATAACATATTATAATTCTATGCCATATCTCAAAAGGGTAATATATTAGATAGAAACTTCTTCTCTGTTCTATTATATATTTTAAGGTTTCTATTGAGACACTGTCACTGTCCTCCCGTTGTTCATCGATTTGCTCAATTGGGCCCAGTAATGTCTCGATTGTGAGACTTGTTGTTACTGTGTTTGGCATATCGAATACAACACGGTAGCTTGCCAGGTTTTAACGTGTGGGCAAGATACTCTTGGTAGCTTGCCGGGCTCTCTGAGAGGGGCGGAGTAATCGAACTCGGGAGACAATATTTTGAAAAGTTACTTTGGTTGTACTTCTACTTGTTGTTCTCTCAGTCAAAGATAATGCTTGACAGTGGGCTAAGATAAAACTTCTATGGAAGGCTATTGTTTTAAAATGCCATCACTGCTTTCCCTCAATTTTTTTTCCAGCTTGAGAGATTAGTGACTTTGTAATTTATTTATTTTAGGTTCTTATAGAACCATGTTTATTAGAATATATTCATGAAAACACAGATGACACATTCTCAGATCTCTATATGCAGCTATGTCTATTTTTCTTAGTGTTTCTTAGAATACTGTATCATTTAATATTAAGTTTAGTCAACATTTCTCTGGCATTTAAAAATTATAGTTTAGAACTATATTGGTTGATTACCCGTCTTTCCAAACATGAATCCATGAAGGTGAAAGTCCTCTTTAAATTTTGAGGGTCTATATTTATCTTATAAAATGAAATGTTTTTTAGAGTTACATTTTAATACAAGTCTGTTATATTTTAAACATTCTCTGATAAATAAATTTTAATGAATATTTTTATTAGATTATTTTTACATGGCTGAATATTACTTTTTCATTTGAATTTGTTTATTTATTTTAATTGTTTGTTATTTTAAGCAAATGACTTAGCTTGTTTATGGTCATGACAAATATTTTATAACAAATTAACAATGCATCTGTATGAAAGAAGTAATAATTGTTCTTTCCACCCTACTTTCACTTCTGCTCAATGTCATAGGTAAGAGCAAACTTACAGTCTTTATTTCTCCAATTTAAAATCTTCTCCAAAATACTGCATTAAAACTCTTGCTTAGTTGAAGGCAATCATAGTCATCTTGCCAGTTTATAATAAGTTTTAACTGTGGATAGTAAGTTACTATCCTTGACTTTATAACTGGTGTGACATGACCCACAGTGTTTTCATCTGGTACGAAATATTATTGCGGCACTTTTTTTTTTTTTTAGATAAGGAGAAGCTTATGTTTTTGTTTCAGAGTTTATCCTACCTGTCTACTGTTTTCCTCCCACTGATGAGTCTGTATTTTTGAGTCATCATGGACCTTAGCACTTGAATTTAGTCAGAGAAGCTATAGCTTGAACAATCTAACCAGAGGCTTTTCAAAGCTATAGTCAAGGGCTCTGATGTCAAGTAGACTCTTTAAGAAATTTACATACTCATAGCTACCAGTCAGCTGGACTCCACTTCCAGACCTTTCCCTGGAAGATTCCGACTGATTGACTGGAGAAAGAAATGTTCTTCAAGAAGATGGAAGAGGTACTGAATTCAAAATGTGAAATTCTTTTCTCTTAACAGGTGACAAAACAGAAGAGAATCTAGTCTCTCAATGAGGTCATGATTTTATTTTATGTGATAGCTGGGTTTGTTTCCTGTAGATACTCTCACAGAATCATATTCCTCATTTCCTCTATTGATCCTTTGATTGTAGTAATGACTTTTACTAAATTCTTCTGGAAATTGAACTCCTGTCAGCATGTGTACTCATCATTCCTAAATGGGCCACTGGCCAGGACTAGAAAGAAGACTGTAAACATATAATTGGTAGTAATTATGACTTAAAACTCAGCTGGTAAAAATACATACCCCATCCCAGGAGATAATACCACCGCATATATTGTTTATCAGTGAACACAGCCACCACAATCAGTGTGTGAAGATAGATCCCTTCACAGAGCATCCAGAAATAGTTGCAGGACATCATGTACTGGTGGAAGAAATGCAGAATTTTGCAGCTCAACTGTTGGAAAGAAATATAAAGATACTCAGTGGAAGACATCAGCAAAAATAAGGCAGTGAGGTAGTTTAAGTGAAAATAAAATATCTACTTTCATATTGCAAGGCAATTTCCCTAAGCATCTGTCAATGCGTGTCACCCTCTATAGACAAAACCAGAGTGATAGAGTGTATATCATTGGTATTAAAAGCAAACAGCCAACCAGGCAATGGAAAACTAGTTCCTGAACTGTTTTTTTCCTATTACTTTCTAATGAATTGTAAAGATAGACTATACAGGTTCATTTTCTTGCAATGTGTTTGAAATGCATAATAATCGACAGCAAGCACAGATTTGTCATACGACTTTTATGGTCCCTTTTTCTAAGACCAATGAGGCAAAAAAAAAAAAGACAACAGAAGTTGTTAATGCTTTTCACAGCTCAGTTGGTGATCTATGTTTGACAATAAAGAAAAGAGAACCAGGTGATAAATTCCTTACTGGAGTTAGGAGCTATGCTAAGTTCAACTTATGAGAGTGATTTTATTTTTACATAGGAGTATGGTTTCTACATTGGGATTCAAGTGTTTTTGTCTACAGAGGTTAGGATGACATATCCCTAATCAATGAGTACTACATTGAGCTTAGTACTCAGTGTAGATATATAAAATTCATAAGGTAAAGGTAAGGTAAAGGTAAAGGCCCTCCCGTTGATCGTCGATTTGCTCGAGCGGGCCCAGTAACGTCTCCATTGGAGACTTTGTTGTTACTGTGTTTGGCATATCGAATACTCTCGGTAGCTTGCCGGGCTCTCCGAGAGGGGCGGAGGAATCATACTCGGGTCAGCCATGTTGGCCGCTTGTAAGGCGAACGCCCTACCCGCTGTGCTATCGCTCCAGCCCTCTTTGGTGATATCAGATTGGCTTTGCACATCCACATAAATACATATAACATGTATTATCACATGCATGGAAAGTTGATACATCTTTAGCAGTATTCCTGATCTCTACCCAATTGATGCCAATAGTAACTCTTCACCATATGAAAATAAAAAAATATTTCTGGACATTACTATATATCTTATGGGGAATAAAATGTACCCAGTTGAGGTCCCTAATCTAGGGAATTTATTTGGTTTTACTGCCTCTAACCATAGCAACAGCAATGATGTGAATGACAGTGACAATAATAGCATTCAAGAACTCAGGTATTAGGGAAAAATCACTGGCATAATTGTTTTTCACATGATTTGCTTTACATAATCTTGGCCTCTAATGTTTTGAATCTGACTAAATTTCAGACTTTCTGTGCTTATAAATCAAGGCAGCCATGTAGTAGTTTTCGGTACTACAGAAACTTCAGGAATACACATTTATAGTTTTTCTGGTTTTGATTTTGGAAGTTTGACGTCCATTTAGTAATGCTCGGGGCCCACTCCCAGTTCTATGCTTCTGAGTTGCTGCTAGCAGTGTTCAGGAGAACATATGATGTCAGAATTGAACTTGGGTTAGCTGCTTGCAAGGCAAGTGACTGAACATCTGTCCTATCTCTCAGACCCAGAAATGTGCATTTCTACTCTGTAACAATAGCTATTAATTTATAGGGGATTAGATGTGCTGATTTCTTTTCAGATTCATTGAACATAAGAAATAATTATCTGGGTCCATGAAATGGAAGATACTTAAATCAACCTCTGAATTCTGAGCAAGGAACAGTAGTACAGATAACCAAAATATCACCTATTCTAAAGGTAATTTTTGTTTGGTTTTGGAAGGCACTAAATATTTCTTTTCCATCTGATTACCTTCTCTTATTGGGAGTATTTGTTTCAATATAATGTTACTTCGCATTTGCTGAGCTAATAGTACCTCCATCTACATGACACCAAAACATAAAGGTAAAATATAAAATATTCTTTGGTACTGAATTTAGTTTGGAGACTCTTTTATCTTAAAAGCCATAATCCATTTGCATCCAGAGTTCTAAATAGATGCTGTGGTATCTGACAGTGTAGGAAGAAGGCACAGGAAGTGGGAAAAGAAGATGGTTGTGTATAAAGATTGGCTTTGTGTAATTCAGAGCAACTTTGGCTTCAAATTTTACATATAGTCAATGATCAATATTAATAGTAATTATGTTTCGTAAAGTTGCTACAAAAACTGAATTAGGAAATAATGAGCCATTGCTCCTATTAAATAGAAGGGGTTAGCTTCTACCTGACTCTGATCACAGTATTTTCATAAATCAATCACTTTGCAGCTTCATTTTCCATTTCCTTTAAAAGACACATTTTAATGTGTATTATTGATTTATTGACAATAAACTCATGGTCGATGGCACTAAATTACACCTAAATTAAATAGATCTAGTTCATCAGCTATTTTCTATAAGGTATATGCATCCCTTTTTTTCTAAATCATTTAGGAACTTTAGACAGCACTCCAGCATGATGCTTGGGGATCAAACAAAGTGAAAGCTGTTATATACAAACCTTGATCTTGTACATAAGAAATCTAAATAAAGAAAGGAAATGTAAGTAGGTGGGGATAATACTATGTTTGTGTATGTGTGTGTGTGGTGTGGTGTGTGTGTGTTGTGTTGCTAGAGATGGTACCCAGAACCTCACAAATTCAAAGTACAAACTTTATCATTGATTTCTATCTTCAGTTCTTTGAGAACCATATCAAACAGTGGAATAACCAGCATAAAATTAAATATATATGAAAGTTACCACTAAATATATCAGGAAGAGAACAAATTTATAGTATGAGAGCCTAAATAAAGACTAGCGCTGCTTCAATTTCAGCTGAGATTGAGTAATTGTATGTGAAATGATTAAAATTTTGTAGCTCTGCACCTGTCTGTGAGTGACCATGAGGGTGTATCAGGCAAATGTTCTGTGCTTCTATTAATTCTATATGGTTAGACACAGGATAGATACTAAGAACAATTTTTTGAAATTTTTCACTTTAAATTAGGCAAAGGAAAATTTAAAAATAACAAATACATATTTATTAAGACCTTTGCTTCTAGAATTAAGATTTAAAGGCTTATTTTGTTATTAAAAAACTTTAAGTTTGCACCCAAATGATAGTGTGGTGGGTATGATGTTTGCCTTGCATGCGGGCAACCTGGATTTAATACTTGACACCTCATATGGTCCTCTGTGCCCCTCCTGGAGTCACCGCTGAGCAAAGAGTGAGGAATAAGTCATGAGCACCCCTGGGTGTGATCCAAAATAGGAAAAAAAAACAAGCAATAAGTATTGATTTTTCATGATGGTAGTTGTTTCAAGTAGGAATTTTGTGCTCTTATATTTATTCCTGGGGTAGAGTTTTCGTATTGCATGTCACTGTCAGTGTCCTCCCGTTGTTCATCGATTTGCTCGAGCGGGCCCAGTAACGTCTTCATTGTGAGACTTTGTTGTTACTGTGTTTGGCATACCAAATATATCATGGGTAGTCTTGCCAGGCTTTGTGGTGCGGGCAAGATACTCTCGGTAGCTTGCCGGGCTCTCCAAGAGGGGTGGAGGAATCGAACTCAGGCCGGCCGTGTCAACCATATGCAAGACGAACGCCCTACCCGCTGTGCTATTGCTCCAGCCTTAAGTGTTGCATAGATAGAATTTAGTGTTGGCAGGGCTGGAGCGATAGCACAGCGGGTAGGGCGTTTGCCTTACACGCGGCCAACATGGCCAACCCGAGTTCGATTCCTCCGCCCCTCTCGGAGAGCCCGGCAAGCTACCAAGAGTATTCGATATGCCAAACACAGTAACAACAAAGTCTCCAATGGAGACGTTACTGGGCCCGCTCGAGCAAATCGAGCAATTAAGGAAAGTACTTCCTGATGGCGAGAAGAAGAAATAAATGAAATCATGCACAGTTTTTAAAAAAGTAACTTATATAACTAATTTTAATGTTACTAAAAGTTCTTTGCTCAGTGACAGAGAAAACCCTGACACTTAAATCAAAGAAAATTAATTGAATGAATGCAGTTTGTTTTATTAGTATTAAACAATTACATTCAATTTGAGTGAATTTAACAAGAAATGGATTAGCGGATTCTGGAAGAGCTGAAAATATTAATGAGCCCAGTGAAAAATTCTGTCCTCGCTCCAATTTTTGCATTATTTGAGAGCAGAATTGCAGACTAAATTCTAGCAAAAAAATAGGGAAAAAGTGACATACTATAAATTTACTTCACAAATTCATGCAAATTGTATTGAACAAAATGAAATGAAGGGCATACAAAGTATATGCTTTTCCCCTTGTTAGTTACTGGAGCTATCATACGTATATTTAGAAAGTTAGTTAAACTCAATTCTTACATTTTACACATATAATTAACTCCAAATATTGAAAACTTAATTCAAAATAATCTACATAGTATTAAATTTTATAAATTTTTTCTGTACTAAAACTTTATGTTTATGCCAATTCTTATTCTAAGGCAGAAATAAATTTTGCTGTAGATTCAGAGTTACCTCTGATTATTACCCATCTTCCTCAAGCTTCTAAAGATGTTTCGTCAAAAGTGAATTTCAGTATTAAGGGAAGAATACAGTTATATTTACTTGTGCAAGGAAAGAAGTGTCAATATTCTAGATATTTTACTTAAAGATAAAGGTACTTAAAAAATAAAACTCTTAATAGAGATTTGTGGTCTTCATTGGTTAAAGGTTGCTGAGTTACTTTTATTCTTAGTGTTAAATTTCACTGAGTGACCATTTAGATTACATTTTGAGTTAACTGTTAATTTCTATTAAACATGTGCCTCCTTAGCTCTCTCTTGGCTATTTTCCCCACCTCTACCCTTAAAACTTAAGCCCCATAATATTCCTATCAGGGAGATGCTTATTAAATGTAAATGAATGTGATTTTATTCAGTGTTTACAATGTTGTTCAGTTAAAGTTAAAGGGAGAGAGAGAGTAAAAGGAAATGTGCCTGCCACAGAAGCGGGGAGGGGGGGTGCAGGGTGGTGAGAGGGATACTGGGAACATTGGTGGTGGAGAACAGGCACTGGA